TAGGATTAAATAGAATAGTCTAATCCAAACATCTAATCTCATGATTGAACAAACATAGTATACAAATTCAGTCCAACCAAATAGTCCGGGGACAATGTATCCCAAGACTAATAGTTCGATGGATTCCAATCCCCCTCTATCTAGTCCATTCAAACAAACACACCCTTTATATTGTTTAGGGTTATACTTGGGTAAACATGTAAATTTTCTAAATTGGGTGGGGTAGTTTGGTCATTTTATTATGATGTGACATTATAAATAAATATTAACAAGAAAAGTCAAAAGTAGTTTTTTACCAACTTTTCAAATTACTTTCCAAAAAAACTAAAAAGCTTGGTAAAAAGTCAAAAACTAGTTTTTAACCATCTTCCCAAAACACTCATATATAATAGGGAGATTTTTTTTTAAGGTCCCTGATATTAAGAATTTATAACATAAAGGACACTCAATATTTTCATAATGTCCAAGGTCCCTCAACATCAATCCAGAGAAAATTCGATCCAGAGAAAATTCGGTCCAGAGAATTTCTCTGGAAAGTCCAGAGAAAATTCAGATAGTCCAGAGAAAATTTAGACATCCAGAGAAAATTCAGATAGTTCAGAGAAAATTCACACAATCCAGGAAACTCTGTATCATCGTGCATTTTATATGTTCTCTTACAAATATCTTTTCATGAAGGGTTGCTATCAAAATTCTGTTTGCTAATCCTAGTGCTCTTTGTAGATCAAATCCAACAAGATGAGGTGGTTGACAGTAAGATCTTGCCATACATTAGCATAGACAAGAAAGAGAAGAAGTCATTCCCTAGACTTCCAGAGAAAATTCAACTTCAAAGATAAAATTAGTCCAGAGAAATTCTGGGAAGAATTTCTCTGGACTTTCCAATTTCTCTAACATTCCCTAGAATTCCCACTGTAAATTTCTCTGGCCTTCCATTCTCTCCAAAGAAATTTCCCTTCTCTCCAGAGAAATTGTAATGTGCTTCATCTTGTTTGAATTTGCTATATTGTTGATATTGAATCAGAATTTCTACAATTGTTTGGGAAATTCCTATCATTTTCTTTGAATGAATTCAATAAAATTTTGTTGTACTTATCTACAAATTTTTCAGGGTATATCTATTCTCACCTAATTCCAAATTTCTCTGGACTTCTTTTCAAATTTATCTAGACTTCCCACTGTCCAGAGAAATTCTCGCCAAATTTCTCTGGACTCAAAACAAAGCGCCAAAGTCTTAGGGCTAGTCAAAATAGGGTGTCTATAGTAGGTTGAAGTTACATCTCGCATGGTATGCAACCATGCTCTCCTAAGAACGATGTTGTAAGTGGATATGACTTTCAAAACCAAAAACTCCATTTATTTGACCATCGAATTTTCTTTGACCGACAAAATGATCTTGCTAATCGATCATTCGGGCATTGAGTTGAAACCCACCACAAGCGACGCGGATGGTGCCAAGTCTCTTTTATCTAACTTCAATTGCTTGAAAGTTTCATAGTACATAATTTCACATGAACTCCCCTGATCGATCAAAATCCTGTTGATGTCAAAATTCTTAACGCAAAAAATAACCACCAGTGCGTCGTCATGGGGGTTCTACAACCTTGCTAGGTCTCTATCAAAGAAAGAAATCACATTTCTTGCCTCTGTCTTCCTTTTCTTCAAAGTCGATTGAACACTTAGAACCTCCCTCATATGCTCTACCTTCTTTATCATCCATCTAAGCTCGTAGACTCGCTCAAGCTCAATGATCCCATAGATCACGTTGATCACACCTTGAGGCGGACTATCTATTGGCATTTCGTCTGGTACATTCATGTCTTGAGAGGCTGGCCGAGCTCTCTCCTTAATATAACGGTCCAAGTGGCTTGCCGCCACTAGTTCTTCCAGATGTTATTTTAATGATGTGAAATCTTCAGTTTGGTACCCTAATTCGTCATAGAAAGTGCACCGGTACCTTTCATCATAACCCTTATGCGCTTCTCCCAATTTGTCCGACTGTCGAACAAAAGGTTCATCGCGAATCTCGCTAAGGATACAATAGATAGGCTTCTTGAAAACTGTAGTAATAGCAGTATAGACTTTCAGCTCCCTTGCTTTGGTTTCCTCACTATTTTGTGAAGGGTCGCCACGGTTATTGTAGCTCCGTTTTCCCTACTTGCCAACTGTGTTCACTTTGGCAATGGTATTTTTGTTCGACATCGCTGTTGTACCGGACCTTACCTTTGGGCGGGCGAAATCCTCCGCCACTTTGATTTGTTGGTGCACTCTTTTCATCAAAGCTTCTATGGTAAGAGACGAAGTCATGGTTATAGAATCCTTCAATCTGTGCCCAATTGGCAATCCGCGCTTGTATTGGGCATAGCTAGGTTAGTGAGGCATTCGCCAATTTGGTTGAATGTCTTCCAATATTTGTTGTTTTATGACTTCAATGTCTCATTCTCGCTTATGTCAATGGCGAGCAATTGGTCAACCTCCACTGCGTTTTGGTATTTATTTTGAAACTACTAACAAACACCTTTGCAAGTTGGGCCCAGGAGGCAATGCTACCTTCTGGCAATCTCTCAAACTAAGTCAAGCCCAAATCCCCAAGGCTTGATGGAAACAAGATGCATATCAAGGCATCGTTCCTTTTGTGAATAGCCATGACTTGTCAAAAGTGGCTGAGATGTATGTAAGGATCCAACTTCCCGTCATAGATTGTGAATTTAGGCTAGTTAAAGCCACAAGCAGAGGCACGTTCTCTATTGCTAGTATGAATGGCGAGCTCTATAATCATGCCAATGCTTTGTCCGCCGGCTTGCAAGCAATATGTGGCATTGGCATTGCAACCTCGATGCTTTCAAGCGTCCTAGGAGCTAATCTCTGCAAAACAGATACCCTTTGGGAGTCTTGCGCCTGTGCAACTTCTCTCCTCCGTGCCCTCTCCCCTAAGATAGTCCACAAATCGTCTGATCTAGGAAGCTGTGTGTATCAAGAAGATGTCTGATGAGAGTGTAAAGGTCGATAATTGTTTCCCTCAGTATATGATCTTTCAGACGTCATCCTCTCAAACTTGGAGTAACGAGTCCTAGAAGTCCTTGACTGGGAGTCGCCTATCCAGAGGCTTTTGCTCCCAAAATGTGTAGGCACAACATATCCATCCTGATCACCAGAACAATGAGATCACATTCGACTTTCGTAGATTTTCACCCCAGCAACGCCATTACCTTTCACTTGGTGCTTCAAAGTCTCCATGTCTGCCATCATTCTCCTTATTAGTTTGTCCTGCTTCCTCACACGATCTTCCAGAATCTGAGCATCAGTTTGTTGCCTTTGTCCAACTGGGCTTCGAGAACGGTGAGAGCTCAAACCCCATTTTTCTCGTGCGCTGCCATTGAGGGTCCAAATCCGTCATGGGTGTAACAGGAGACAAATCCTCACGACTTATGTTCGCCTCCGGCATCTGGCCATCAATGAAGGAAAGCGAAAAATCCTCGTTGTGCACCATTAGAGCTTGTTAAAGGAAAACTTGATCAAAAGGTTTGTTCTAGGAAAACTTCCCACAAACGGCGTCAATTGTACGGGCACAAAATAATCGTCATTAGTATAATCCTATTGACCAAGCTTGTGTTCCTCCAAACGTCGGCGTAATACCTGAAATCACAAACGTGAGCTAGCCGATGGGTGTGTGTCGAAAACCCCTTTGATGCTTAAGTTAGCAAGAAAATTCTAGAGGCAAAAACTCTGTGAATTCAAGAATAACAATTGTCATACCTAAGATTAGGATTTGATTTAAGCTTTTATAAGTTCCGCATGGCACAATCTAGTAAGACTCTAACTCTCCTTTGTAGAGTCCTCATAGGAATTACATTTCTAAAGGATAATACTTATCCGTTAACACCATCCTCACTGCAAGTCAAGTGAGATAGCACAACTATTTGCAGGGGTTCCAGCTAGGCTACCAAACTAACTTTATTTTGTCCACCATTGACTTAGTCGTGCAACACGCAGCGCCGTGGAAACCATGCACAGCACGCACTAGGCTGACATTGTGCGACTCTTTTCTTAGCTCAGTCAAAGCTTCATTCCCAATTCCGTTTGACCATCTTCCTATGTAGCACGGTCAATCCATTGACTGCCTTCCTACATAGCTTCAATCAAAGCTTTGACTGCCATTAGGAAGTTGCTTGGTCCAAGAATGTTAGCATTAGCCAATACAATCAAATCTCCTTGACCGGTTTGGCCTCTGTACGACCCAACTCAAACTCTCTCCAAGGCATAGCTCGACCCATCACGCGACCCAAACCTTAAAGCCACTTCCACCTAGCTCGACTCAATTTGACTACCCTAGTTACCCTCTCAAATAGCATTACTGTTTTTTTAAGTAAAAAATGCAAATTGTTTAGAAAATAAAACCCTTGGTTCAAAATTTTGATCATCTCTATTTTATATATGGAATAGATATCCCTGATTTTTTTTTTCTTTTATAAAGTTGTGTGACATTATAAAATTTTAAAATTAATGATATGTAACTGTCATATGATTATAGATTTTAAATTTTTTTTATAACAAAAAATAAATATTTTTTGATGTGAATCTTTCATTGTTACTCATCATGAAATACCAATCTTCATTTTATTTGTAAAATTGGGAGAATCTAAATTCTTAATTTAAAAAAAAAAACAAAAAAAACAAAATCATCTATTGAACATGAATATTTTTTTTATTCATGTTTTGACCCCTTCAAAATTTACAATCTTAAATGAATAATATTAGAAATTATGAAAAAAAAAATCATAAAATACATCATGAAATTTTTTCATCATTTGATTAGTGTGTGTTATTTTATTATATGTGTGATCTAAAAATAAAAAATATTTCATAATCATTTTTATAATATTTTTTTCATAATTGATGACCTTGCTCTTAAATAAAATAAGAGTAATCTGATCTTGTCTCATCTCTCATCAAATATCCGTAGTAACCCCTCTCTTTCTTCTACACCCTTCACCCTTCTCTCTCTCAAACTCCCACCATGTAAGACTCCCACCATTTCCTCACCACCCCACTAACTTCTAAACTTGAAACTAATCCCAAACTTCACACACCCAGAATAAAGCTTCCAACACCAACCGCCACAAAACCATGCACATGCAAAATCCTTATCAACCCATCAAAGAAGACTCTGAGTCCACCGCAGAAAATTACTCTGCCCCCGGAGAAAAACCCATTTTTCATTCCGCCACATGAGCTGAACCCACTTCAGAAACTAGTAACCTCGGTCCTAGACATGGTTGAAAATTCAGTGATCATGGAATTAGAAAAGAAACACGGGCTGACCCGGATTGTCGACCCGGAGGTTCAGCTGGAGGGGAATTTTGCCCCTGTCAGGGAGTGCCCCGTTCAGCACGGTCTCCAGGTGATGGGTCAGATTCTGGCGGGTCTATGCGGGGTTTATCTGAGAAACGGAGCCAACCCGATGTTCCAACCAACCAACGGCCACCACATGTTTGACGGCGACGGCATGATTCACGCCGTTACGTTGGGACACGGGAACAAAGCCAGCTATTCTTGCCGCTTCACTCGCACGAGCCGGCTCGAACAAGAAACCGCATTGGGTAGGCCGATATTCCCCAAGCCGATTGGCGAGCTGCATGGCCATTTGGGCGTGGCTCGGCTGGCTTTGTTCTTCGCTCGCTCGAGTATTGGTTTGGTGGACTCGTCTAGAGGCACTGGCGTCGCTAATGCTGGGTTAGTTTATTTTAACGGTCGACTTTTAGCCATGTCAGAGGATGATCTTCCGTATCACGTCGGCATCACGAATGATGGTGATCTCGAAACGATCAGACGGTTCGATTTCAACGACCAGCTTGAATGGTCCATGATTGCTCATCCTAAGGTGAACCCTATCACAGCTGAACTTTACGGTGTAAGTTACGACGTTATAAAAAAGCCGTACCTGAGGTACTTCAAATTCGACACGTGCGGGAATAAGTCATGTGACATACCCATTTCCCTCCAACAGCCGACTATGATTCATGACTTCGCAATTACGGAAAGTCACGTGATCATCCCGGATCACCAAGTTGTGTTCAAGCTATCTGAGATGATCCGGGGTGGGTCACCCGTTATCCACGACCCGAACAAGACATCCCGGTTCGGGATTTTGACCAAAAATGCAATGGATGAATCGGGAATTCAATGGATTGATGTACCAGACTGCTTTTGCTTCCATTTATGGAATGCATGGGAGGAAAATACGAAAGAAGGCGATCTGGGTATCGTGGTTATCGGGTCGTGCATGACCCCGCCCGATTCAATTTTCAACGAACGTGACAAACCGCTCCGAAGTGAATTATCCGAGATCCGGCTCAATTTGAAAACGGGCGGGTCGGCCCGACGGGTCGTTGTTGCCGGCCTGAATTTAGAATCCGGACAAGTGAGCAAGTGGCGACTTGGCCAGAAAACCCGGTACGCCTACTTGGCAATAGCCGAGCCGTGGCCGAGGTGTTCCGGCATTGCCAAGGTTGATTTGGTGACAGGAGAAGTGACCAAGTTTTCATATGGTGATGAGAGATTTGGCGGTGAACCGTGTTTCGTGCCCGAAAAGATGGCCGTAGAGGAAGATGAAGGGTGTGTGATGAGCTTTGTGAGAGATGAGAGGAGAGAGAGGTCTGAGTTGGTGATAGTGAAGGCTTCAAATATAAAGCAAGCGGCCTCAGTGAGGTTGCCTTCTAGAGTGCCTTATGGTATCCATGGCACATTTGTTAGTTCACAAGATTTAAATGAACAAGTTCTATGTTAATACAATATTTTGTATTTGTATGCAGTTTTTGTCATGTGCCCATTTGCAAACTTGTTTGTTTGTGTTTGAAATTTTTTTTAACAGAGTATAAAATCTCATTCCCTAAAAAATAAAGTAGAAAGGAACAATGTGATTTTTTTAATAAAATTGTCGGGTAAGGTAAAAGTACACGTAGTAATGACATTGGGCACATAATCGTTAATTCTAAAAAAAAGAGTAAAATTTTGATGTAATTAATGCCATTGACATGGACAGGCCCACAAAGGTCATGAATCACTATATAAACAACCCAAACCTATCAATCGGAGCCCAATACATAATCCAGCCGATGAAGTCCAGAATAGCTGGAATCCAATATGGCATAAAGAAGCAATGGTATTCAGGCACGTGGCGGGTGAAGGACGAGCCACATCAGCAGACAAAAATCTGCAAAGTTATTGCCATGGCACATCACCATTAATGCAGCGCGTCACAGCATTTATTACGACAACACCTCCCGTCGGAACAGGGTCCTCTTACCCTGAACAAGGTAAGCTACAGCATAGACTTTCGGCGAGGAGGGCAGGTCGGAAGAGACAGCAAAATGATTACCAAAGGATATAAGCCAACGTTGAAGACAAGAAGAAGGTTAAGTTTTCTATCCCTAATCCCTCCCTCTATACTCTACTTCTCTTCCTAACTTGCTCGTCGAAGGGTTCACTGGGGGACTACCCCGTTCCCCGTTGAACTTGTTTGCAGGTTATCGGTGGGCTCGATCATTTGGACGTGGGCTTGAGGAGATTGGACCTGTTCGATCCATTCACTGGGACAAATTGTATCATCAATTCCCTCGCCCGAAACCCTTGGGAGAGAAAAACTTAGGCGATTTTGTGCCACGGCCGACCTGGGACTCTTTGAATTTTTGGGCTTTAGCAAGGATGGCCTGATCCTCCGCCACTTGAGCCCTTCTCCTCGCCTCTAACTCTGCTCGGTCGCGGTTCCCACTACTTGGCTTTGGACCCAACCCTGCCTCAAATAATGCAGACGGCTGAACGAGCTCGTCCCATTTGGCCCCTTCTTTCTCTCTCCACTCCTTCACCTTCTTCACCCTCCCCTCCGCAGCTGCTCCCAGTTTCGGCTCCACAGACCTGATGGTGTAGACACCCCATTTTTGACCGTCCTCAAGACTTGGACGTCACCGTTTGAACACTCGGTGATCATCCTTGTTCGTGTTCGTCTTGAGTTCCCGGAGGTCTCGGCTGCGCGCCCTGCCTCAGGATCTCTCGACTCGACTGTTTTGTGTCTGGTTTTGCACCAAACACTTGTTGTTTTGCTTCTGAGGGTGGGAAGTAGCTTGTAGGCCATCCCCACACCTCACCGGCCATGGCTTGAGGCCACCGGCCTTGTTTCCTTGCCACCGGCCATTGGTGATGGCCGGTCGACATTATTGATGGTCGGTCGGCATTGTGTTTGGTCGGCCGGCCACTGTTTCTGATCAATCGGCCACTTTTCCTGGCTGAGACCTTTTCTTGAGGGAGCTTGACCCTTTTGAACCTTTTTTTAGCTTCTTGAGGAAGCTTGAACCTCTCAATTTCAGTGTCCTCAGACTGCACTTTCTTACTCTGCTCAGCCTCAGCCAGTGGGTCTGTCCGCTCTTCGGCAACGTCATCCCCAGATAACTGTAGATCAAAGAAGATCTCAAACCTCGGCACGCGCTTCCTCTCCGCGTTCAGCCACGGCTCTGGGAAGCCACAAAAC